AAAAACAAAAAAAAACAAAACTGAGGGTAAAATTTGATGTGTTATGAGGAACTAAAAGTTTCTTTCTCTAGTTGCATTCATACGAAGGATGTTCCATGGCTTTCTTTACATAGGTTTTTTTTTTTTTTTTTTTAATTAGTATGTTGTATATAAATTGAATCATTAATGGATTAGAGCCACTGAATTAAACATACAGTTATTATCTTTAAATGTGAAGACATGACATATCACTGTAAACATTAAGACATGGGAGTTTTGGAGGAGGAAATAAATTGATAGACACATATTATTTTTCTCCACAAATGAGAAACCAAAGGTCCAAGAGAATATACAATGTGCTCAAGGTCATATGCTTAGAAGCTGTCAGAACTGAGATTTAAGTTGGGAGTTAGAAATGTTTGAGAAGAAAAAAATCTCTTCAAGAGTAGGGGGCTATTTAAGAGCAAACATATTTAAGCTTAACAAAATACTATTGTTTTGTAATATATTAAGCAAGATATTACCACTTGGACATGGCTGTTTTCACTCATTCTGCGAATTTGTTCCTGCATAAAAGGAAACACATTCTAAATTACTTAGACATCTTCTGGTATAACACATTTATCTTACATTGCACCAGAAGTATACACAACATCATTCATGAAATTTAGAATAGATCGTATTCTATGCCAAAATTAGCAAAAAATGTCAAAACCCTTTTTATTTTCTAACGTTAGAAAAAGAAATTAGCCAAAGGCTAAGCTCACTATAGTTTGGAAAAATAAACAATTAGTAAGGTTCATATTCTGAGGATAAATAATAACCTACCACTTCTCTAGGACTATGTATTTTTCTATTTAGGGCTATTTATTAATTATTTAAATTTTATCTTTTGCGACTTTTAAGTAAAATATTACCAGGTAGGGTTGGTAGAACACTGTCTCTCAGAATATATTTATGTTAAAAAAGAAGCATGCATTATAAAAATATAACACGTGAAGGAAATACTAAAATATTTTAGATTTAATAAATAATCTCACCTGGGCATGGGCAGCTTGCTAGGGAGGAGAAAACATTCTGTTTTAGTATTTTCATTTTATTTACTCACGAATAAGAAACATTTGCTGGGTACCTTCATTTGTTCAGGGACAATGTTAAATACTGGAGACAACACTGTAAAATACTACAAAATCTCTCAGGAGGACCAGTTGGTTCTAACAGTTATGGAGGTTACATATTAGCCATATCATGCATATGGTACTAAAATATATTATTCAGGTAATTTTCTAGATCAATAATGATGAATTCTATTGGGGCACTGATATGTTTAAATTTATTTGGATACTATTTTAAACACAAGTTACCTGAAAATGGAAACAAGAGTAACAGTTAGGGTCCAAATTAAATTCATTATTGATTTTCATCTTCCTCTATTGATAACGATTAAAAATGCTAGCATGTAATTTTGCTAAATTAAAACAAAGCATTTCCCAAAGTCTTCATTATGTCAAATTTACTTATAGTAACTGAAAGGTTTTTATTGTCCTCCCTAAAGAAAGACTTATATGTTACTCAAAAGGGTTGAAACCAGTGAAAAGCAGATTAGGTGAGTTTTGACAGAAGCAAATCTGATGTTTAGCATTCCTGTTTCCTTTCTCAGAGTCTATACTGTTCCTTAAATGGAAAGTTTATTTGACATATCTGTGATTTCACAGGTAAGCATATTTATGAAATTCTCAACCAGAATGTATCATCGGGGAGATTAAAAGTGAATTTGTGGTAGAATGTACTCACTTTCTCCCTGGTTAGTAATTACGGATAAGATATACAACTTTAGTACAGAAATAAAGAGAACGAGCATTGCCAGCAAATATGCAGGCAAACATACAAATAATATGCCAATTATTGGTCAAGGTTAGAATAAATAATTTCTTAATAAAAATAAAAATATATTTAGAAGTGGCCTCAATTTAAAATTTCTTTTAATTCTATAGTAGAATATGGTTTTGTATTATAATGAATAAAATATTACCAGCTGAAGTTGGTTGTATTCGTTCATTCTACGAAACTGTTCCTATTAAAAAGAAAAATATTCTCAATTGCTTGGATATCATTCAATCCAACCCCATCACTTTCATATGATGAAACAAGAATCTTACAATGCTCTTTCCCAAGGGTAGAGAATGAGGAACTATTAAACCTGAGTGCCATTTCTACCCCAAATAATTTGGACCTCTTCCATTATTCCCTTTTAAAAACATTTTAAAAAGCAACTTCTTGAATTTAAATTATAATTCTGTCTGATATAAATTAGTAACAGCCAATTTTAGTACAATATATCAGAATTATTAAGAAAATTAAAACTTTTTTATTTGCTGACTGTGAAGATTTAACTTTGGCCAAACTAGATTAGAATATTAAATGGACAGGGAAAAATAATTTTTCAAATATTATCCAACATTTATTTATAGTTTACTCTGTGTCATGGATTGCATTAATTGCTTTACATCATCTGATATTTATTATTATTGCCATTTTGGGGTTTAGTTATAGACTTATACTGGGAAAGTGAACGGTTCAACATCACATATGTGTGGGTAGAGCTATGAGTCGAACTCAAGTGTAACCAAATCTACAGACTGCCACTTAAATACTATGTTATGTAGATTCAAAAGGAGACTATAAAATACAAATATTCAAGTGAAACTGTGAATTAGATACCCAGGATAAAAAAAGTTGCTAGTTTTATTTTTAGAGGGGAATAAGAAAGCATCTAGATCCCATCAGACTACTTACAATAAAGTCTAGCAGATATTGAAAAGGATAAATAATTTATCAATACAACATTCTCACTCTTTCCTTGGTATATTTGCCTTTGATAAATCTTTAATGTCACTTTTTCAGATGGCATTGGTATAGTATGTCTTCCCTTGGGGGGTGTGTGTGTGTGTGTGTGTGTCTGTATATGTGAAAGTAAGTGCATTTTAATTTATCCTGGAAAATATTAATATATTTTAAATTTAGCAAACATATCTTACCGCAGACTTACTGAGAGAATTTTCCTTTAAAAAAATAAAAATATGCATAGTTTTAATTTCAGGACATTAATTTACATTTAAAGTTAAAATATGAATCAACAAAACTATTACTAAACAATTACAGTAAATTGATTTTCATTATAAATTCCCCAAAAGCTGAGACAAGATTAATAATTTAAAGCACATATTATAATCACATTGCTTTTCCTTTTCTCACTGCTTTAACCACTACATTGCTCCAAATGTTGGGGGTGGAGGTGAAGTAATGATTTGTATTCACTTAACAGAAATCCCGCTTAACTGAGTTGGTTTTATTTTGGTAACTTGCATGAAGGTCTTCTCCCAAAGTCAAAGGAAAAACAACACCACTTTTTATGTAGGCCGACTTTTGTTCTCAAGATTAACACAGGGCAAAGTGTGGGGAGTAGTTAGAGGAGACCAACGTCTGATTAACCTAGAATTGGTTAAATTCTAAATGGTTTATGAAATGTTTACTTCATTGGCTTATAGGCATTGTAATTGTTAGAATTTTTAACGATAAGATTGAGTTTTAACAAAATCTGAGAAGGACAAAGTAATTGGTTAAAAAATAATAATTTGGACATCACAGATGCCAGATAAAATTGTTTGCCCAGAAATAATGTCAATTTGTCTCTGACAAACAATTGCGTTCTTACTTCTTTTGGATAGCTACTCACATACTAAAACTAGAATAGTGCCACATATACACTGCCTTGTACAAACAGACCTTATGGGATATGTAATCCTCAGAGTACAAGTTTTCATAATGTTTTAAATTAATTGGGACTCAGAATTAATATCACAATTATTTACCTCACTTGATGAACTGATGCTAGATTCCGTCTTCTAAAATAAAGAAAACTAGTGTCAACTATACCCTGGGATTTTTAGAATTTGAAGGAAACTAGTTCGATACCATCATGGTGAAATGCTTACCATGGTAACATTGTAATTGAATTAGTGGTATGGGAAAATTCAGGCGTACTATATTGTATTTTCTTGGAGTGTCAATTTTACTTGAAAATTTATGGCTGTAGGTTTAATAACTTATCTGGGAACATAAAAACTTAAAAGCGATAGTTTTTAATTTAGGAAAACAAACACAAGTTTATCATTGAGTAGAATGCAAATTTTACATAGATTTTTGTGACACAAATGAAACCTCTAAGAAAGAACTGTATTTAGCTGGGTACCTAAAACCCTGGGTTAAACATCTATTCTCATCTGCCCTTGGGGTTTCTGTGATGTGAATAAAATGGAAACATTAAATACAATACACAATCTTAAGATGAAACTAAAATTACATTAGCTTTTAAAATACTTACTTTGAACTATTTATTTTTTATTCAAAGTCCTTTATGTTTATATTTATATATACATATAATTTTACTTCCCAAGTACATACATATTTTAACAGATTAATTTTAATATTCGACAGACTTTATCTCTGGAGATGGTTAATTAACCATATGCAATAAGTCAGCATTTAAAAAAATATATTTGTAAATAGTGTAGCTCACTGATCCTAGGTAATTGCTGCAATAGATTCTTTCTGCCCAAGGAGAGGAAGAGGGGCATGGGTTGACAAACTATTAGGTTGGTGCAAAAGTAATTGACATTTTGCCATTACTTTGTAAAAACTGCAATTACTTTTGCACCAACCTAATAGTATTTCCATTATTTTTAATGGCAAAAAAGCACAATAACTTTTGCACTAACCTATACCTATTGGGTAGTACGCTCACTACCTGTGTCTGATATACTCATGTAAAAATCTTACACGCATACACTTGTATCTAAAATAAAAAAGTAATCTCATGCCCTGGGATGTCAGAGCCAGCGTTCTGTGGGACTCTCATTTTAAACATCCATGCACCTTTTGTTTTTATTTTGTATTTAAATGCATAAGCAATCTTTTTACTAATTATTGTTTAAATGGCTTAAATTCCATCTTCCAATTTCAACTTTATATAGCACATTATACATTTTTGAGTATAATATTCCTGTTTGAGAAGTCCAATAAGTTAAAATTAGAATAGAATTAATTTAAAATTAAGATGTTAACATTTTAAAATTCAGTGTCTTATTCTGCTTAATTTCAGAAGACAGTCTTCTTAAAATGAAGCATACTGCGTACACTATGTGTGATACATAAGTGTAGAGTTCACTAGAATGAACGGGTCTTACCTCAGACTCTGCCATAACATGGTTCTTAAGAAAGGAAAGATAATTAATTTCATTTTTCATGGCAAATAGTCAAACACAAAAGTAATGATTACCAAATAAAATGGATGTTAAAGAAAATAGAAAACTGAGACAATATCAAAGTAATAAGAAAAACTAAAAAGCCTGCCTACCTTATCTCTGAGCTACCTGAACCTGCATTTTGAAATTTAAATAAAACGTTTTGGATTCTTCTATGTTGTAGTAAATCAGTGAAAGCAAGTTTACATTTTCCTTTATCCAGCATGACTTTTCGTTTTCCCTCTTTTAAAACTTAGCTTCTGGACACTGAACAGAACACTGCACTGAAGCTCATGAAGTAAATACAACTGGGCTAAATGAGAGCACTAATTCAATGGTGTATAAATACCTAAGCAAATGAAGTTGCTCCATCTAGTACGTTTTGCTTAGTTTTCACGACTACAGCAATACAGAGATCAGTGACATTATCTGTAGAATTTAAATTCAAAATATTTGTGTTGGTTTAGTTACTCTGGCCAACGTATGATGCAGTATATCTTTTCTTTCTTTGAATTAGAGTTATCTGTCATAGTTTTTATTCAAAATAATAATTTATTTTTGGAAATATGTATTGTTTCTTTTCCTCATATTGGTTTAATAATTTTAAAACAAAGGGTCTCACCTCAATTGACTCATTCCTAGTATCCTGCCAAGACAATCGATCAGTCAGTTATGAAAGATTGTTAAGAAGATTTATATTTTATCTCATAAAGTTTGAGCACCTGCTGTCTCAATACCAATTCTACTAAAAAACTAGTAGACAATCCGAATCAAAGATATTACGTTTAAAGAAAATAATTGAGTATGACTATGTAAATATTCTTGAGCCAGATATTGTATTACTTCATATAATATCCTTGATAAAGCATTCATTTAATTTTGGTGATAAATGTGAACACATAATTGCATTTATTTGTTTATTTGCTGTTTCATTCATTCACATTAATGCCTTGTTTCATCACAGTCACACAATTAAGTCAAGAAATCATTATCTTCAGAATTCTCAGCAGAATCCATTAGTCACTACAAATGTATGAGTGAAAAGTTCGAGGAAAGGAAAAAACATAGAAAAATGTTTTTTTCTTTTCCTAAATGAAAACTTTTTTGCTACTACAAGAATATATACTTTTGTCATACTCTTTCAAGAAAAACTTTGGTACCTTGATTTCATCACTCTGTTTTTCTCTCAGAACTTTTCTCTGCTAAAAATCAATAAAGTGTACCTTGTAAAATATGTTTTCATGAAGACAAACTTTTAACATAATTTAAATTTCGTTGATGCTTCTTACCCTGTTCATACCATTGATGTATTCCTTAGGGATAAAAAAGAAAAGATAAACAATATTAGTGAAACAAGACATAAATGAGTGGAAATCTATGAGAAACTATACTTCACATCGTGCTGATACAAATTTAAAAATAAACCTATTTTTCCTGAATGAACTAATATTCCTTATTATATCATTTCTAACCCTAAATGGTCTTTCCCACTACACAATTAAGTCAATCAAATCAGCAATCTTTAGAATTCTCAGCAGAATTCATTAGTGCTGATACAAATTTAAAATAAATTTATTTTTCATGAAAGAGCTAGTATTCCTTAGTGTATCATTTCTAACCTTTAAGTGGTGTTTCCCTACACTTTCTTTGCGTAAGACTACTATGTAAGTGTGCAATTAACAATATTTTTACATTGTTCCACTCAATTTTGTTATCCTTGACTTTCACTTTGTTTTAGGCACTGTTCTGAGTCTCCTGATCTTAACACTTACTTCCCTTTGTTAATTGTACCGTATATTCTGTGGAGTCATTCTTACCTCTCTTGATTCTAATGGTATAGGCTACAAAAAAAAAAAAAAGGTTATGTTAAAATTCATTCATAGTTGGGTTATCTATCAAATCATTTAGATAATGTCCTTGAATTAAAATATGATGTTCTTCTATTCAGCAATTAAGTCAAAAAATTATAGAGAATATGACACATACGTATTATTTACAGTTAAGAGCATTCTATTATAAGGAGTAAGGAAACTGTAAACCTCCACATATGTCATGGAAAGGAGAGCAGAATGTTTTGGAGAGGCAAACATTTAAGTACAAATGAAAATATAAAGTGACTCTTTAATATATGCATATCTTGTTTCTATATTCTTTCTGGGCGTTTGGGTGACTGAATGATGGGAAGAGTTGATCAACTTAGGTTACAAAACAACAACAAAAAACCTTTTTATTTTTAAGGCAGTTTCTTGCTCTATCGCCCTGGTGCTATCATGACTCACTGCAGCTTTAACCTCCCACGCTCAAGTGACCCTCCCACCTCAGCTTCCCAAGTAGCTGGGACCACAAGTGCATGGCACCACATCCGACTATTTTTTTTTTCAAATTTTTTTGTGGAAATGGGGTTTGGTTATGCTGTTTAGGCTGGTCGCAAATTTCTGGGCTCAAGCAATCCTGCCTCAGCCTCCCAAAGTGTTGGGATTACAAGTGTGAGCCACTGCACCCAGTATAAAAAAAAAAAAAAAATTATAAATATAAATTAAATAATTTTTCCCAGAAAAATGTTTCTTCTTTTAAGAATAAATGGATAACACTTACCAAAACAAGCCTGAGAAACTTTCCTTCTTTGATAATTTCCTATTGAAATTAAATTGTGAATTATAAAAATAATAAAAACACCAAAAAAAACCACATTATTCCCATTTGAACACAAATACTCCATTTAATTTGGTAAACCAACAGATTTCTAGGGTAGAAGAACAAATAATTAGTTTTAGTTTTATATCTAATTTTACAATCTAAAGAACACCTACACCTTAATTAGTTCCTTCTTCACCAGGCCAGGAAATTTAATAAGTCTATGCTTACCAAACTAACTAAGAAGTCGAATAGGAATTTCATCAAACAGAATTGAGAGAGCAATCCAGGTACTTGAGTTGTTGGATGCATTTGAAGGGAAATAAAAATTGTAAAGAAGAAGACATTCAACATGCATGATAGCAAATTGAAAGAGAGAAAAAGGAAGAGAGAATCTTGACTCCTCTTAAACAGAGCTTACCTCACTGCTCTCTGATGGATTCTGTAAAAAATAATAAGTTTAAAATGGTATTATTCCAATTGCAGGACAGAATGTAGGATTAATTGTGCTCATAGAAAGTTGTGATAGAGGTAACTAATTCAAGATTCAACATCTCAAATGAGACCAAACTGTAAATCATAGGCTTGAATACGTGTAACACTGAAAAAAGCAAGAATACATTATAATAAGCACGTCAACAGATTCTGTTTAATTAACTACTTCTCTTGGATAAAAATAAGACTTTTATTAACATAAATGTTTATCTAAGTCTGTGTGTCGTCCTCTAAGTTTGTGAGAGCAAATTACGTCTGGCAGTGCTTGAACTAAAGAAATGGTGCGTCAGCAAAAGTGAAACAGGTTGTTTCATAGAGAAGGGAAGAGCACATTTGGAGTATATGCTTCACAATTAGAGTGAATTCTTGGAATGCAGAATAGAGTATTTACCTGAAGGAGTTCTGGGTATCTAAGAGGAAGTTTCTGTGAAAAACAATGCAAGAATTGTAAAACAAAAAGTAACTAAAATGACAGTAACAATATAATAATACACATATAATATGATGATTTTTGACACTGCTATTTTCAAAAGGTACGTGTTTTAATAACAATATTTGTCAGAGACCAAGTTTCTTTGGGAATACAGTGGAAAAAAAGAAATCATAATTATTTTATAGACAAATATCAAAGGAAAATAATCATTTCCTTTCTTTAGATTATGGCTGGGAGTTGAGAAAACTATGTAAAACATCTTTTAAAAAGCAAAAATTCTGGGTTAGAATTTATAATTCTGGGTTAGAATAATAAACAATTTATTTAGTTTTCTGAATTATTTATATTACACCAAAATTCTAAAGATGATTTTAAACTAGTATAAAAAAATGTTGGGCAAATTATAATTTCCTAATTCAAATGTTTAGGTTTTATTTTTATTTTTTATTTTTATATACTTTAAGTTCTAGGGTACATGTGCACTATGTGAAGGTTCGTTACATATGTATACATGTGCCATGCTGGTGTGCTGCACCCATTAACTCGTCATTTACATTAGGTGTATCTCCTAATGCTATCCCTCCCCGCTGCCCCCACCTCACAACAGGCCCCAGTGTGTGATGTTCCCCTTCCCATGTCCAAGTGTTCTCATTGTTTAATTCCCACCTATGAGTGAGAACATGTGGTGTTTGGTTTTTTGTCCTTGCCATAGTTTGCTGAGAATGATGGTTTCCAGCTTCATCCATGTCCCTACAAAGGACATGAACTCATCCATTTTTATGACTGCATAGTATTCCATGGTATATATGTGCCACATTTTCTTAATCCAGTCTATCATTGATGGACATTTAGGTTGGTTCCAAGTCTTTGCTATAGTGAATAGTGCCTTAATAAACATACATGTGCATGTGTCTTTATAGCAGCATGATTTACAATCCTTTGGGTGTAGCATGATTTATAATCCTTTGGGTATATTGTCTAGGCTTTATTTTTATCATTGCTTAAATTATATGACAATTGATCTCCATCTGCATAGACTTCATGTTAAACAGTGACATAAACAAACACATAACTCTATTGTTTCCTTTGGAATAAAAGTGTAGCATCTATTTTCTGGGCTGCTTTTCCCCACTTCCTGGTAAAATGACAAGATAAGAACTTCTCAGGTGGTTCATTCCTGAGGAAGATGTATCATTGTTTTGGTAACTTGCAAGCAGAGATTTCTTTCTACTGATGCTTAGATTATAGCATAAACAAAGACTATTGGTTCAGAAGTTGACAATGACTGATTCTGCAGTTTCCAAAGGGGAATGTAGAGAACAAGTCTGTCAGTGCAAACAACAGACTATATCTGCATTTCAGAAATTTTGCTTCTGTATGAGATAATTTCAGTGTCCAAATATCTCCAATCATCCCTCTAAACTGATGTTTTTTCAGTCAGGTGTTTATTCTTCTCATTCATTAACTACACATAACAAGAGAATAGAGAAACTTTTTGGTTCACATCCCTATCTAATTGATATAAACACTCTTTTTGAGAAGAAAGGTAATTTTAATATGCATTATCTAGTTTCATTATTTACATTGTTTACAGTGACCACAATAAATTGATCACTCAATCAGCTGAATCACCCCAGGTTTCTATCCCTTGTGGGGGGAAGAAAAGTTGACACAAGCCATTTCAGATGAGGGTTTGATTTTGATTCCAAAAGTAGGATACATTGGAACATGTGGCTTTGTGTTATATTTGGTAAAGAAATGTTGGACTACTATTACATTTTTAGAAACATGAGAATTTTGTAGTAGACTCAAGGAACAGGCCTAATCACATTGTTTGATGCTACTTATTATGTTGTGCACTACCTTATTCTTTTTCTTACTTTTAAATTTTTAGCTCTTTTTTATTGTGGGGTGCTTATAATTCAAGTCAGACATTTTATTCAGAGTTAAGGCTCTCAGTGGACTGTATAACAGTGATGAAAATGGGAAGCATTACTGCATTTCTATTGTCAAGACTTCAGAGGCCAATTGGAGATCATGCAGTGCTTGAAGATTATTCCTCTGGGTATCCTATGTTTGATGAAGTTTCAGGTCATTTCTAACAAGAATCTAAATCTTTCTAAATTCTCTACCGAACTTACAGGCCTGGCAAGAGCAACAGCCACAAGACAGGTGAGAATGAGAAGCTTCATGGTGATAAAAGCCTATGTAAGACGACAAAAAAAGAAAGAGTTAGATATTATTATATGAAATTTATTTCCTGAAAAAAAAATCCTTGATTTTTCAACAAAGGAGCAAATGTTGATAAAATAGGCTTATATGAGGAGCTGTAACGTGAATTTTTATAAACTTAAGATTTTAAAAACTTTACTACTCAATATCAATGTTTATCATTCTAGTCATAGTTCTTATATTATTCAGAAATACTTATTTCTTACAAACATTTTTCTTCACTAACTCTTTAAAACATGACATTTTGTCCTTAATGTAATAATATGGACTTAGAGAAACAGAGAAGTGCTAATTTTGAAATACAATTGAAAAAAGAAAACACTTTTCCTCCTAGATCACAAATCAGATTTTCTAAAGTGGGCAATAAAGTAAAATCCACTGAGAACTGGAATTTAATTTGATTGAAAATTTTTGAAAATGAGTTTCTCTTTTAAATCTATTTGAGAGCATTCTTTTCTTTTAGAGTCTTCATGAAAAATCCTGTCTGCATGTTATATAAAAGCTATTAATCTCCTTCAATTATTTTTTAAAATAATCTAGTCATAACTTCATGTTTTGCTACATTGGAATATTCATGACATAAATACATGAAGATGATTGAATTGGATAGAATCAAAATATTGACATGTCTTATATTTGATTTCTTTAGTTTCATTAAATTGCAAGCACCCAGAAATATGGACATTCACATGTACCGGGAAAATGGTTTCCAGTGAAATCATTAGAAAAAAAATCAGGTCACACATGCTATTTGTTCACATATTAATCAACATACTAACGTTGACATTTATATATATTGCTTCAGTCTACAAATTTTAGAATCTAAATGTGTTAATGAAGGCATATTTTTGAACTCAAATAAATTTACTATTTGTGTCTTTCTGAATATCTAAACTTAATAATCTGAACAAAGTAGTCGTCTATATCTAATTACCTATTATAGATAAACACATTGCAGAGTTAATTTTATTACCCAAATGACATGAAACAAAAATGGCCTTGAAATATTCTGCTAGAAATGGTTTTTGCTACGGTAATTACAAAAATAAATTATTTGCATAACAACTTCTCATAGAATCAGGTAAAAATAATTTAAATTACTTTACCCCAAGTCTCTACTGAAATTATGTACCAACTTTAAAAACATATAATATTTTAGTTACAAAATTATCAAAAAAATGATTTGGTATTTTTATAAAACTGTATTGATTCATCACCTAAAGTTCTAAAATGGTATCCAAATTTGCAAAGGGATTTTTAAGGTGCCAGTAAATCATAAGAAGGTTTAATATTTGTAAACATATGGAAAAGTTACAAATATACTTAGTAAATAGTGAAAGAAAGTGTAAAATGTAAAATGATAGTAATTTTGCTGTATGTAAACGCAGTACCTTAAACCCAAGACTGGAGAGAAGCAAGCTGTGTTGATGATCAAGATGATGGCCTATCTCTTTGCTTCACAGCTATTTAAATGTGGTAATTGGAAAATGATAATTTTGTGGTTTCAGTTCAACCAGTAGGTTTATTTACATTCTAAGAATTCTCCCAAATAGGAAACTAATTTTCTGTCCAATTTCTTTCCCAGGAAATTCTGAGAGGTTTCAACAGGGAGTGATTCATGCTATGATAACAGATTACACAAGAAATAAAGTAGCATTATTGAAAATTAAAATACAAAAATTTCCAAATGCATGGCTATTATAAAAACATGATTTTATGTTGAATCCATAATTTGACAGGAACATATTAATACAGTTCTCTGTATATCTTTTGAAAAATTCAATTCCTATAATGGAAATCCTGGGGACAAAATAGGCTCTTAGAAACGTTCCAATTTTTATCAGTGTACTAGGTCATTAAAAGAATTCATCATTTATTTACCTTTTAAAATGCAGCTTGTCTCCTATTATTTGTTGTGACTATCTGCTTTATGGATTAACTTATACTGTATATGCTCTGATCTTTTTTTCAAAGAAGGAAATCCAACTACCCTATATGTTTTGGTGATATTTAAGCTACATCAGACAATTTTTTGTTTGCTTTCTTTTAGGCATATTGGTTGTGATAGTTTGTATTTAACAAATTATAACATTGTCTAATTAGAATTAATATTTATTCATTAATTATAATTTTAAAAGATTTCGGAAAAGTATATCATATCTCTGATTTCCTATTTTTTTAAAGTAAATAAAGGAAAAAAATGAAAATGCCTCTCTCCTATCTCCAATTCTGTTCCTTTATGTTAACTATCATTATACAACATAGAAAAATACTATATCCTGAGGAAAATATCTGTAATAGAGAGGGTTTTTAAAAACTGCTGTTGACTGTGACTTTGCTTTTTTACAGGAAAAGAATAATACTATCTATTTTAGGTAATAAAAACATAATAATGATATTTACAGCCTTTTCACAGTCACATGAAAAGGGCATTATTCTGGATTAAAAGAAGTTTCAGACTGGTTAATCTCAGATTGGGGATCAGAAGAGATGTACTTTCCCATATTAAAGTTCTCTTTAGTTGTGTCTTCCTTACTGACTACATCACATCAATTTCAACAACCTACTAGTGTTTCCTATTCACTGTGATTCATTTAAGAGGCTGAGGACAAGCATCAGCTGTATTATAATACCTTGCTTTTGTCTTTTCCCAGAAGTGTACCCAGGAAAACTGATTTATTTTATTCCTAACTCAAAATCAAGCTATATAAAAATCTACTGTAATTTATGAAAAGATTCTGTCTCCTCATTTGTTTATTCATTTATTTACTTATTTATTCACAAAGATGAAAGTGCTGGACAAGGTATTGGGGATATAAAACCTGAGCAACACAAAATTTCCGGCCTCAAAGTATGATGGATAATTAACCCACAAAAAGTAAAGAAGTTTAATTTTTACAAAAAATCCAAAAATAAAGATTCGAACAGGGCCTCTGGAGTATGGAGTACCTGAGGAAAACTAAGACTGTTGGCCATATCAAACAAGGCCCCTTAGATGAATTTGATAATAAGAAGCCTTTACATCATAGGGGATCAATTACACAATTACAAATGTCTAATTTACATAATAAGGCAAATCACCTCTTAGTGAATTTACATAACAGCTCTATAAATTTTCATGAACTCAAAATCCAGGGTTTAAAAAATCTGTAATGTGGCCAGGTATGGTGTCTCATGCCTGTCATCTCAGCACTTTTGGAGGCCGAGTTGGAAGGATTGCTTTAGGCCAGGAGTTTGAGACCAGCCTAGGCATCATAGCAAGAACCCATCTCTATTTTCAAATAAATAAATAAATAAATACTAATCTATAATCCCCTAGGGATAAGGATCAAGCTCTACTTTGCCTCAATTAGTTATTAGTAAGTAAAGAGGGTTCAGTAGGTTTTCCTTTTAAAAAAATAAATCATTATTATTATACAATATGACTATCCACTATAATTTGAGAAAATATGATTTTATATGATGACTGTAGATTTGTGCAATCAATGCCCAGTCTGCAAGATTTTAACTGAGGTTTAATGCATTATCTTGATAATTTTCTGTATGCTTTTATCAGTTAAATTTGGTCTGTTGTAACCATTAAAAAAGCTCCATTTGAAGCATATATTTAGACCATCTGTGGTCAGATGGGAATTTGTCCCATAAGTAAATACAAAATGAAATTATTTTCCGAAAGTCAGTATTTAATTTTCTGCGAAACAGGGTCACATGTAGGTTCAACATGTAATTGATCATCCAATGTTCAATACTTCTAGTAATGAAAGGGTCAGATCTTAATAATTACAATAGGACAACACCATAAACCAGGACTATTCCAGGAATACTAGGACGTAGACACTCTAGTCAAATGGCACAATTACTTTTGAACACCCAACAGATTCCCTATACAAGGGAAAGTGGAAATAGATCAGGTAAGGGGCAACTACAGGAAGCTTATTTCTTTTTAGGATTCATACTCGTTGGAAAATTAATACATACAGGCCAGGCACAGTGGCTCATGCCTGTAATCCCAGCACTTGGGGAGGTGGAGGCTGGCGGATCACTTGACATCAGGAGTTCAAGGCCAGCAGCCTGGACAACATGGCATAACCCTGTCTCTACTGAAAACACAAAAATTAGCCAGGTGTGGTGGTGCCTGCCTGTAATCCCAGCTACTTGGGAGGCTGAGGAAGGAGAATCACTTGAACCTAGGAGGTGGAGGCTGCAGTGAATTGAGACTGCGCTACTGAACTCTAATCTGGGCAACAGAGCAAGGCTCTGTCTCAAAAAAAAGAATATTAATACATACAAAAATGGAAGGAGACCTCATTAGCAATAGATAGATTTTGAGAAAAAATACTATGTCAAGTGGTAAATTTTACTATGGAAAGTTATGTATATTACTGCTGCATACACATTCTGCTTCATATTTAAACCTGCTCTCAAGGACTCATTTTGTTGAAGTCAGTAATTTAGAGCGTGAAATTTCAAAGGTAATTTGTCATAGTTGTCCCAGGACATTTGATAAAAGATTGGTAAGTCTTCTAGGAAAATGTTCTTTTATTACGCAGCAAATGGCTAACTTTCAAGAAAGAACCTTACGGAGAAATGTAAAAGATATTTTTGTTTTTCTCTAGAAACTCACATACAATTTGGAACCTAAAAGAGAATTCACAATAGATGCTTAGTAATGTGCTTAGGTGTTGTCTGAATAGAAACTAAAATAGAGTTATTTTCAGGAAGTTTTCATTTAGTATGAATATATAGTAGCACTGATATATAGCACCTATGCTTAATATCATGCTTGCAATTAGAATAATGCCTTTTAAAAGTCTGCGATGCTTTGTCAATAGGTCCTTGGAGTTCTAAAATAAAGCACACAGTCTTAGTAAGGTGATTATAATGTAGTGGTTGTAAGGCAATGCTCCAGTGTTAAATTGTAAGTTTAAATCCTGGCTCTCACTAACCAACTGTATAATCTTGTTCA